TTCCCAAAGGACCAGGACCTTACTCTGCTCCAGCTAAAGTAAATATATATAAAAGGAAGTTGGCAATACTGATGGGGCCACAGAGGAGCGAGGACTTGTAGATACGGGAGGAAAGTTCTAATATAAAGATGTTTTGGACTAATACCAAAAATTCAACGTGATTTTCAGGCTGACCACTGAATGCACCCACTCTCTTCACTTACACCAGAGGGTCTGCAGCAAAGAGTTTTCCGAGCTTCAAGCTATGACTTCTGAAGTGAAGGGGGAAAATAAGACACAAGGTGTGACCTGCCCCATGCAAATCAATGTGCCACAGAGAACTGCACTGCTGCCTGGCCCAGGGTTCCTTGGCAGAGGGAGAGAGCTGTGCTCTACCGCATGGACATCAGACACGGCAAAGCTTTCCCTTTTGAAAACCTCCAACACGTGTCCCTAGGCTGATTTCCGGAGATAACCCAGAGAAAAAAAAAAAAAAGACAGAAAGAAAAAAAGCATTATTTTCTTGCAGCAGGCCCTCACAGCATAGCAGCGAGCTCAGCACGATGCTATCAGTCTTCCCCAGCCCTCCACCCTCAGAAAACAAAGGCAGGATGTGCCATCTGTCATCCCCCTGTGCTGGGGTCGGGGACCCTCCTGGGCGCTCCCTGTGTGTTTCCGTGCCACCGAGAGCATCTCGATGCACCCAAACATCACAGCCAGGGCTGGGCTGTGAGCCTGGAGGGACCCAAGTGCTGCTCCTGCTCCCCTCTTTCTCCTCCTCATTATTTTGGGATTGAGATGCCATCTGCTCTAACTTTTGTTCCACGTTCTTTAAGACCCCTTCCAACCTAATCCATTCTACGCGCTATAATGCATATAACATACAGTGAGTTCTATGCATTCTATTTTTAATTCATACTTAATAAATGTAAAAGCTGGGCACGGCGTTGGTTCATTCCATCCAGAAATGGGGAAAAACACAACCTTTTGGCTATTGTTTGAATCCCAAAAGAGGAAGCACAGGAGCTCGAGCCCCGGTACCATACGCACTGGAAAGTGTGGTGCTCTCTGCTGATCCTTGTTTTCAGCAACAAAGGATATGTGAGCTCTGCCAGGAAATCCGAAACCCTGGAGGAGCGGCTCGCATCTCCCTGAACTCCATTGTTGCCTTTATGTTCCATGTGTTTTCGCACAAAGGCAATTTGTAGAAATGGCTGCGTGCTGCAGGAGAGTGAAAGGATGAATGATAATGTCCTGTCCCCCGGCAGCAGAGCTTGGCACAGCTTTGCACATTTTTGGAGGGTGACAACCAAACGGCGTTCGGTTCCAAGCCTGATGCAAACTGATTTTTCGCATGGTTTGTACTTTCTTCAGGGCAGCCCCGAAGCTTTTCTACAAGAGCCACTGGGCACTGGTGGGGGTTTTTAGGGCTCGCCACACCCTCATGCAGCCTCGTGTCTCAATGTCACTGGTTTCCATTGGCTTCCCACCAGCTCCTTGCACAATTGATAACTGAAGAAAGCACGTATTTGCCTGGGGACAGGGTGGGATGCACAGTGCGATGGTTACTCCTCCCTGTCGTGCAATTGAAAGCATCTTAAATCTCTTTTCCTTCTGTGCTTGACTATTCTGCTCTAGTGGTAACGATGTTATCTGATTTTTCTGACGATTATATACTTTTTTTTTTTTTTTTTAATAGCTTAAATTGTGGCTCTCTGCATGGATTGGCTTGTGAGGACATAGCCAGAGATGGCTTATGTCGTTATCTCACATCCTTATCTCTGAATTGGAGAGATACAGGTCTGGAGCAGGGACTGTTTGGTGGATAAGGAATTGGCTGGATGGTCACAGCCAGAGGGCTGAGGTCAATGTCTCCATGATCAGGTGCAGGCAGTGAGGTGGTGTCCCCTAGGAGTCCATCCTGGGGCAGTGCTCTTCAACATCTTTATCAATGACACAGACAGTGGAATTAAGGGCACCCTCAGCAAGTTTGCTGATGACACCAAGCTGAGTGTTGCAGTGGACACAACATAAGGAAGGGATGCCATCCAGAGGGGCCTGGGCAGGCCTGAGGTGTGGACCTACGAGGCCAAGTGCAAGATGCAAGAACACCCTTTCCAGCCTAAGCTATTCTATGATTCTGTGGCTTGTGCTTCCCTGAGATTCAGGGACAAATCCCTTTCTGGCCCATGCTGTAGCAGAATCACATGCAAAGTCAACCATGAGTCTTCTTGGGCACACTGGGTGCCCTTGGCCATTCCTTTTCTCAGGGCTCTAGCACTAAGTTGCCACTAACTTATTATTTCATTGACATAACTTGTGTGCAACATTATTAGGATCACTGTATTACTGCAGCTTACCGTTTCACTGCTGTAGCTGATGCAAGCAAGGACAAATCTCCTTGCCACAATTTGTATCCTGAAGGATCCACCCAAATTAATGACAACCAAATGAACGCACTGTTTGCAAGCAAGCTGCAGGTCCTGCCAGGCACCATAAATGCCATCTGGATGCCTGTGCTTCTGCAGAAGGAAAGGGCTCTGCTTGCTCCAATTTCACATCTACACTGAGATGGAAGCGTTGATTTTGTGTGCTGGCGTCATGCATTCCCTCAAGGAGCAATGCCTCTGGGGGCTGATTGCTGTGCTGCACTTTACTGCAGGAATTGCACCTTGCTCTCAGTTTCTAGCAGCCCCTGAGCACCTGCATGCAAAAAAAAAAGTGAAAAGAAGTATGCTGGCAATGAAACTGGAAAGAGAATCAGATTAGAAACCAGATGTAAGTCGGTGATAATGATGTAATCAGCCATGGGGACCGTTAGCTGAAGGAAATGATACATACCTTATCATGAGGAGCGTGTGCATCAACGCTGAGCCGTAGAAATTGGCCTAATTCAAGGCAATCATGTGTTGTTACAGCCCGCGTGCGCTGCTGCTGGGCGCATCCGTGCCGCATCTCCAGGCCCACCCCAGGCTTTGGGTGCTGGGAACCCTTTCTGCACATTTTTCACATCTCATTGAACGTTCGTTTTGACCGGAGAAGTACAAGATGAGTTCACTTGGGGCTTGCCTGGAAGGATTATTTTGTTTTATTTTCTTTGTTTGCCTTGGCTGCTCACTCAAGGGCTCCGTCTGCCCCCTGCTTGCAAGGGCAGCCAAACCCTGGAAGAATTGGTTGCCGTTCTTGTGCTGAATTTGGAGAACTGCACCATGGAGACCTGAGCCCAATTCTTCTGTGCCCTGCGGGTGGGTTAGCCCGCTCAGTGCCAGCCTGCTCCCTTCTTGCCCGTGCTGTTTGAACAGGAGCACAGGCCAGCATTGGCCATTTCCCCCTCTTTTGGATGCATTTCAAGGTGGATATTCAGTTGCAGCCAGAAAAAAAAGACACTGAGTGCCTTTTGTTGGGAGGCCTGGCAGGGCAGGGGGCAGGCTTGGCTTTACAAATATTTAGCTAGCAGCAACTGGAGGGAATATGCCAAGAGTGAGCTTAGGAAAGTGTGTGGTGCTGCATTTACAAGGCTGTAAGTCAATAGGGTGCAGACTGTTGGGTGGGTGCTCAGCATCCAAAAGCCACGTGCAGGCTGAGGCTGCCTGCTCTCCCCATATATCAGGTACATATTGGATGTATGCACCCACCAGGAGCTTGATCTGCGTGTTACAGGATCATTAAGGTTGGAAAAGACTTCTAAGATCAACTACTCCAACACCAAGCCATCCCCACCATGCCCACTGACCATGTTCCTCAGTGTCCTCACCCCAGCCCTCAATCAGTGCCAGCCCCTTCTGTGCTTCTCCACAGCCAGGACATTCAAGCTGGGACATCCTAGCCAAAAATGTTGCCAGCTGCAGGATTAATGATGGCCATATATTTAAGCACCAAGAAGACATAGGCACCTGCGTTCCCATGCACATTGAGCCTATTCTCAGTAACATAATATGTGCATTTATCTATATTGCTGCAGTCCAAACTCCTTCCATATAAAAATTCAGCCAGCTGGTTGCCGGCTGCATCCCTGCAAAACTCCCACAGGCACTGCCCAGTGAGCAGGGAGCTGACTTGCAGACAAGGGAGAGAACCATAAAATCATTGAATCATGAAGGTGAAAAAGACCACAAAGATCACCCAGTCCAACCATAGCCCATACCTACCCACATCCACATCCATACCCACTGCCCACGTCCCGCAGTACCACAACCTTACAGTTCTTGAACACCTACAGGGATGGTGACCCCACCACTCCCTGGGCAGCTGTGTCAGTGCAGAATCACTTCTGGAGAAGGAATTGTTCCTAATGGCCAACCTGAACCTTGCTTGGCACAACGTGAGGCCATCCCCTCTCGTCCTATGGCCGTTCCCTGGGAGCAGAGGCCGACCCCACCTCACACAGCCTCCTTTCAGGTCCTCCTTACAGCCCTTCCTGTAAAAAATGGGCATCACATTACCAAGTCCTTTGCTCCCAGAGTGTGTTGGGTTGGATTTGTTAAATGAAAAACCCACGGGGATGCACAGCATGCTGTGGGGTCTGTGCTGCTTTGCGGGTCCCACCCAACAAACAGATCCCATCCATTTCAGGGCCAGCAGCACCCGGCCTCACTGGGGCAGCTATTGCAGCCCTCACCCCTACCCTGCACATCCCCTTGTTACTTCTTGCACTGGGAAACGAGCGCAGGGATAGGGAAGCGTGAAGGATGCGGGAGCGAGCGCAGGGAGAGAGGGGGGGGGCGGGCCGCCGCCGTCACCAGGGCAACAGGCCTCCATCGCCTCCCAGCCGTGGGGTCCCTGCTCTGCTCAAGGCTTGGGGCTCAGACCCCCCCCAGCACATCTCCGGGCTGCGGCATCCCCGCCTCCACAATGGCCATGGCCGGAGCGGGAGGAATCCCGCGCACTTAGAGGAGAAAGAAGGGGGAAGGGTATGTCGGATGCTTTGTTTTCAATGGGAGTGCAGCGAGCAGAAATTGGGCTTTTTTTTTTTTTTTTTTTTTTTTTTTTTTTGTAATATCGTCGTGTCATTTTATTTATTCGTTTGTTTTTAAGATGGGAAAGCTTATTTCCGTGGTACAGGTGATGCGGGCCGGCGAGGCTCGGCTACATGCAAATCCGGAGAGCGCGGTCTGCCTTTCGCTTTAAAAGGTTCGGATTCTGCCGGTCATCTGATCCAGGTCAGCGGGACTTTCCTCAGCAGCAGCCCTGCAGCCCCTCGGCCGGGAGCCCCCCGGCTGTGCATCCCTACAGGACCGGGAGGTAAAATCACTCCGGATCGCTCTCGCGTTCCTCTCGCTTTCCACCGCGGGGGTGAAGGAAACCATTGGGATTTGCAGGGGTTCCATCAGGCAGCACCGATTCCTGATGCCGCTACGGTGCCCCCCACCCCCGCTCCCTCCCCACGGCCCCTGAGACCCCCGGGGCCTGTTGAGGACGGCGGTGTGGGGCCCTCCCCTTCTGGCAGAGGCCGGCACTCGTCCCCCCATGGGCTGCCCTGCAGCATGAGCACCAACGCTGAGCACCTCCCACCGTGGGCCGCTTCCGCGGTGCCCCCCAACGCCAGTGCAGCCTGGATGGAAGGGCCACCGGCACGGGGCGGACGGGTGGGCGAGCTGGCGGGCATGGTGGTGATCCAGTGCATCTACGCCCTGGTGTGCCTGCTGGGGCTGCTGGGCAACTCGCTGGTCATCTTTGTCATCCTGCGCTACACCAAGATGAAGACGGCCACCAACATCTACCTGCTCAACTTGGCCATCGCCGACGAGCTCTTCATGCTCAGCATCCCCTTCGTGGCCACCTCGGCCGCCCTGCACCACTGGCCCTTCGGGCGGGCGCTGTGCCGCACCGTGCTGGGCGTCGATGGCCTCAACATGTTCACCAGCGTCTTCTGCCTGACGGTGCTCAGCCTGGACCGCTACATTGCCGTGGTGCATCCGCTGCGGGCGGCCACCTATCGCCGTCCACGGGTGGCCAAGATGGTCAACGGGGCCGTCTGGCTCCTCTCCTTGCTGGTGGCCTCACCCATCCCCATCTTCGCCGGCACTGCAGTCACCCGTGATGGCCAAGCGGTGGCTTGCAATCTGCTATGGCCTAGCCCAGCCTGGTCGGCGGCCTTTGTGGTGTACACCACACTGCTGGGCTTCCTGCTGCCGGTGCTGGCCATGGGGCTGTGCTACCTGCTGATCGTGGGCAAGATGCGGGCCGTGGCGCAGCGGGTGGGCTGGCAGCAGCGCCGGCGCTCTGAGGGCAAGCTGACACGCCTGGTGCTGATGGTGGTGGCTATGTTTGTCATCTGCTGGATGCCCTTCTACGTGGTGCAGTTGGTCAACCTTCTGCTGCCCGGCCGCCTCGATGCCACCGTCAATAACGCCTGCCTGATCCTCAGCTACTCCAACAGCTGCGCAAACCCCATCCTCTACGGGTTCCTCTCGGAAAACTTCCGGCACTCCTTCCATGGTGTGCTGCGGCGCTGCCTCGATGCCAGCCTCTGCTGCTGCCCACCCGAGGCGCGGGCTGTTGGCGATGAGGAGGAGGAGGAAGAGGAAGAGCCCCTGGATTACCGCGCCGTGCCCCGAAGTGACCCCAAGGGCAAGGGCTGCATGTGCCCACCACTGCCCTGCCAGCAGGAGCCCGTGCGCCCCGAACCCTGCTGCAAGCCTGGCACCCTCCTGGCAAAGACCACCACCTTCTAAGGTGCCCTCTGAAGCCCTGCAAATAGGGTGCTGGGTGAGGAGGGCCACACTGCCCTCCCTTTAGGAACAGAATGCTTTTCCGATGACTTTGCCCCCATTTCTGCTGGGGTGTCCCCCTGGCATTCTCCACTCCTCGACCGCGCTGTGCAGCCTGATGAAATAAAAAGCCATAACGCTGGCCCGTGACACAGCTCCCAGCCTTGGCTGAGTGATTATTGCCACCAGGGAGCCCCCAGGCTAATGGCTGGGTTCCACCCCAGGGAGGATGCAGGACGGGAGGGCGGATGGGAGAGGGCCGATGGGAGAGGCCATGGGCACAGAGGGGACCCACGTGCAGCCCCTGGGGACATGAGGTCACCGGCACGGCACGGCCCAGTCTCTGCTTCTGCATGGGACCCTGCCAGGGTTCCACCAGCATTTCCCACCATTTCATCCGTGCCCGGGCAAAAAACAGGCTGGGAAAAAAGCCACCTGCCAAATGGAACTGCAGCTTTGAGTCCTTAACAGGTGCCCACCTTGAGTCTCTCCCCTCATCTTACAGGGAAAGGAAAAACTTTCCACAAGGGTCTACAAATAAAAAAAAATCCCACATCCCCTCCCCAAATCCCCAGGCCGAGGGACCAAACCGATGCTTTCCAGCAGGAAGGCTGTGCTGCAGAGAAGCATCGCCCTCAAGGGCACTTTGAGCACAGTTGTGGGAACTGACGAGCAGCGCTGGAGCTGCACCGAACAGTGTTAAATCAGCCACTTTCAGCTTGTTTGGGTTGAGCGTCGTCCTTTTCGTGTTATTCCCCTTCTCCACTATTTCTGGCTCATTCGTTCTATTTTAATGCTGCTGGTGAAGGGCACCCTTTCAGCACAACTCTGCTAACCAACAGCTCTGCTTTGCTTCTGGGGAGCCCGGCAAAGGGCTGAGAGGTGCTTGGGGGGGAAGGAAGGGGGGTCAGGCTGCAAGGAGGGAAGGAAGAACAGCTCGTTCCCAGGTTTCTATAAATCAGACGGTAAAAGCTTTATTGGTCTGCACACAACATCACGAGGTGATTGCGCGTGGCGTAGGGTATATTTCCAACAAATAAATAAGTATTTACACATGTGCTGGGTGTATAAAACAGTGGGTTCAACAATTTACATGAGGAAAGAGACAACTGGGGCAGCATGGAGCTGGCGTTCATCTCAGGGCCTGCTGCATTGCTCAGTGCCTGAGGGGCACAGATATCCCCCAGCTCTGAGCCCAACATCCCATCCAGAAAGCTTGGCACTGAGGCTGCCTGCTCGGGCCAGCACTGACAACCCCGGGGGCTGTTTCAGGGATCTCCCCCATTCCAACTCTTTCTGCACCCCCCCCGCCCCCAACCCCCCATTTATCCTCCAGGCTGCACCTGCAAAGCAGGCAGCAAGGTCTGGAACACAAACATCACCAGGAAGTTTTGCCATCAACTTCCACACAAATTAAACTCAGCCGTGGATGAAAAATTAAAAAGGAAAAAAAAAAAAAAAAGAAAAAACATGAGAGCAAAAAGGCACAGTGTCACCAGCACTGAAAATGCCCTTCCTACAAAATGACCCCAGTGCTCTTGGAATACCCATTTCACCCCCAAACAGTCCCCAAGTGGTGGGAGGGGAGAGAAATCAGCACTTTAGCCCCCCCGTGGTGATGCTCTGTGGGGTCCCTGCATTGCTGGCAATCTGAGAGCTCTGCTGCCACAGGTCCGTATGCAACAGGCAGGGCAGGCAACACGAGAAGCCGAAGCAATGAATTGCTTTCCTCACTTTCTCTTTACAAAACCAGGGGGGTTACAACCAAACGTTACCCAGTTCCATCCGCGTCCTGCTCGCTGCCAGGCTCCCTACACTTTCTGGCTGGCAGACACCTGCTGGAGCCCCATCTCCTTCTCACGGGGGCTGCCATACTTGTACTCCATCGAGCTGGGGGGATGGCAGCGTTTCCTCGCCAGGTGGTAGCCGACGGCAAGCAGCACCAGCGCCGTGCACAGCACACCCATCGTGATGCCCACCAGCGCCCCGGGATGCAGGTGCTCTGCTTTGGGTGGGATGTGGCTGGGGATGGGCGGGGAGGGGCCAGAATCTCCTGAGTACTCATCCACGTTGTCGTCTGGTGAGATGGGTTTGCAGTGGTTGATGTCAAAGGGCACGTAGCCGGGCTGGCAGTGGCACACGTAGCTGCCGAGCGTGTTGGTGCAGTTGTGCTCGCAGTAATTATTCTCGCACTCATCAATGTCAACGCAGAGCGTGACACCGTCGGGCAGGTGGTCCGTCACAAAGCCTTCAGGGCAAAAGCAGGAGAGGTTGCTGAAGTCACACTCGGCCAGGCATCTGCCGTCCTCGCACTGCCGCACGCACTGGGTGGGATTCTTCGGGTCGACAACGTAGCCGTTGTGACAGCTGCACTGGTAACTGCCAGGCACGTCCTCACAGATGTGGTCGCAGGGCCCAGTGCTGCAGTTGGGGACGGGCATGCAGTGCCCTTCCACCATCTCGTAGCCACGATGGCAGCGACACTCGAAGCCGCCCTCGGTGTTGTGGCAGACCTGCTCGCACACCTCCGGCACCCGGACGCAGTCGTCCACGTCCTGGCAGCTGCTGCCGTCGGGGCCCAGCTGGTAGCCCTCGGCACACATGCAGTGGAAGCTCTCTCCGTCGGGAACGCAGTGGTGATCGCAGGGAGCACTGGCGCACGGCGACAGGCAGCCGCGCCCGTCGGGGCCGAGCTTCTTGCCGGCCGGGCAGACGCAGCGCGGAGCCCCGCCGAACTCCTCGCAGCTTCCCTCGCAGCCGCCGTTAGCCAGGAGGCACTGCCAGGCTCCCGGCTCGGAACGGCCCCAGCGCGTTCTCCCGCTGGAGGCCGCGGCCTCGCAGAGCAGCTGGAGCCCCATCGGCGAGACGACCGCGGTGGAGCCGGGAGGCAGGGCCATAAAGTCGCCGCCGGTGGCGCCGAAGGGGGTGCGGTAGGCGAGGGACGCCCCGTCGGCGAGCGGCAGGCGCGGGCAGCTGTCGGGGTAGTTGTACTCGCAGAGGAAGCCGTCGGCCGGCTCCTCGCAGCTCCGCTCCTCCCAGCTCAGCTCCCGGGACACCGCCACGCACAGCTGCCCGCAACGCCGCCCCGACGGCGCCCAGTTGTCGTAGTCGGTGCGGGTGTCGCCGGTCACCCACTGGAAGCCGCGCAGCCGCCGCGCCGGCTCGGTGCACAGGGTGGGCAGCCGCAGCCCCAGCCACAGCTTTCCGTCGCGGTTCCGCAGCAGCAGCCCGATCGCATCCTCGGCCACCGTGGAGCGCACGGTCATCAGGTGGCCGCCGTGCCGCTGGCAGGCCGCGCTGGCCGCCGCGAAGGGCCCCGGCTTCCAGAAGACGGCGAAGCAGTCGTGCTCCAGGCACTGCGCCCCCGACGGGGCGGGCGGCTCCGGCTCGCCGAGTCCCAGTCCCAACCCCAGCACCAGTCCGGCCAGCAGCAGCGGCAGCGGGAGCCGCCGCATGGCGGGCGGCCGGCGCGGCGAATCTCTGTCATACCGCCGACCGGGGCGGCAGCTTTATAGAGCTCCGGCCGCAGGAAGGAAGCGCCTCCGGGGACGGGCCGCCGCCGGGCCGGGAGGGATTGCGGCGGGGGCGGCTCCGGCGCGGAGGAAATCCCCGAGAGTCGGGAGGTGCCGCTGGGCCGGGCCCGGCCGGGCGGGACCGCGGCGGGGAGGGGGCGAGGCGGCCGCCCCTTCGGGGATGCGGGAAGGAAAAGGGAGGGGGAAGAGGTGAGGAGGGGGGAGTTGTGGGGAGAGTAGAAGGAAAGGAGGCGGGGAGAGGGGAGGGGAGAGAGAAGAACAGTAAAAGAGTGGAGATTGATTTAAAAAAAAAAAAAAAAGAAGAAGAAGAAAAATGAGAAAATAAGTAAAAATAAGCAAAGATAGGATGGAAAGGAAGAAAAGAAAAACGAAGAGAGGAGAAAAAAGGAAAGAAGAGGGGCAGGGGAGGCACGGGAGAGGAGAGGAGAGGAGAGGAGAGGAGAGGAGAGGAGAGGAGAGGAGAGGAGAGGAGAGGAGAGGAGAGGAGAGATGGGGACATCAGAAGAAGGAGAACAGAAGGCAATCGCGGGAGAGCTGATGCTGCCGCAGGACCCTCTAGGACAGGCAGGGGACAGCGGTGGCGGCACGGGAGGGCAGTGGGTCAGGGGCTGCTTCGTGCCCGAGAGTGGCGGCCGTGGTGGGGGGGCCCGGAGCATCTCGGCAGCCCCAGCGCTGGGGTAGCGGCTCACAGCGGAACTCCTCGGCCCGGTCGTGCGATCCCGGCCGCCGGCGGCAGGTGGCAGCGCCGGGGGGACGGACGGTGCCCGGATCGCTTTTTGAGAAGAAACCGAGGTTTTTGTGCAAAAGGGGAGAGAAAGTCTGTAAGCTCTCCGGGGTTTTGCAGTTTTTTGTTAGCGAACGACTCGGGACAACGCTTCCTTGCACTTGTGGGGCGCGGTGTCAGCAGGGATGAGCGACAATCCCTTGCGGGCTTCCTTTGCAATTTGCAAGGCTGAGGGATTTGGGGTGAGAGGGCAGAAGAACATCCGCCGTGCTCTGCACGGCAGCAGCTATGCACGGAACGGGGCTTGGAATTAAAGCAAGTCATGTGGGCTCGAAATTAAAAACAATCACGTGGCTCTCCAGGGGAAGGAGTGCGAGGCCGCCTCCTGCTCATGGTTTTATGACAGCTTGGCCCCATCCGTGCTTTTATCCTTGCGGGATCCACCTCTCCTATCAGAACATGGCCGAGAGCAAAATAAAAATGAAAAGCAAACATCTAAAGCTTTGCCACTCAAGGAAAAGGGCATTTGACCCTTCTTTTCAATTTAGAGAGGGATGTTTTTTACTTGGAAGGCTCAGCCGCAGCAATTAGCCCTCGGGATCCCCTGCAGAGAAACAAATCCGTGCTGCTTCACTCCACTCCTTGAGAGGAGGTGACTTTATTACACCCTCCAGCCTGATGTGCCCTCACCAATTGCTCCTGGGAGGCTGCGGGCATCGGGAGAAAGGGAAAGATGGGGAATAATGATAATGATGATCATTAATAATAATCAATACTATGGATAATAGCTCCCCTGGCTTGCTGCCCCAGGGCTGCCCTTCATCCCTGCCCTCCTTCCTGCTGCCCTACATCATCCCTCTTCCCATGTGATATGTGTCCCTTGCTCTGGCTTCATGGAAAGTTATTCCTTAGGAAAGGAAGGACGAGTTACTCATTCAGCAGTGACTTTTTAAAGGAGCTCTGGCTCTGCCAAAAGGAGAGCTGTCACCAATGCTTGGTAACGCCCATCTTTCTTGGCTTTAAAAAAGCAAAACAGCTAAAAAAAAAAAAAAAAAAAAAAAAAAAAACAAAAAAGTGTTTTTTCCCCCAGTTTTCATCTTAATGGCTTTTTTTTTTTTTCTTTCCAATTTCTTGTGCCTCGATTTTTCTTCCCCCTTCTGTTTAGCTTTGTTTTCAGAAGCAAAAGAGGAGAATAGTGGAGGAAGGTTGGTGGAAACAATGGGAAAAGCAAAAAGACGGAATACAATCAGTGACAAATAAAACAACAACCCATGTGTTTTGTTTTTATAAAGATATTGTAGAAACATAAATTTCAGTTCAGGGCTGTGTGCTGAGCAATATTTTGACATTTTCCAAGAAAAACTTCCAGCCATCCCAAA